ATATATATATCCCTCTGTCCCCTGGGCATTTGGGAGGCCGAAGCAGGAGGATCTTAAGTCTAAGGCCAGCCTGGGATACAAAGCAACTTCCAGGCCAGCCTGAGCTACAAACTGAGACCCTGTCACAAAAGAAAAACAAATACACAAAAGCATCTTGTTTAATTCATTGTTTTGGTCCTGATTTGCCTCCAAGCATGTTACAGACCACACATAAGTAAATAAATAAAATTCATGCCTTCCTCTGCTTTTGTGTGTGTGTGTTATGTGTAGCGTATGTACTTGTTCCTGGGGTAGGAGGTATGTGTTCCTGTGGGTGTGAGGGTGTGTATGTACAAGATTCTACTGGGGGAGGGGTGCCTTTGTGAGCACAGGTAAATATGCATGTGGAGGTCAGAGATCAACATCAGGTGTCTTCCTCAATCGATTTTTTTTTTGGACAGGTTTTCTCACTGAACCTGGAATTCACGGATTGGGCTAGGCTGGCTGGCTGGCCAAGGAGTTTGAGAACCCCCCTGGCTTCCCTGAATCCAATGTTGGGATTACAGAAAACACTATACCCTGTTTTCTCCTTGGGTCCTGGGATATGAACTCAAGTCCTCATGCCTGCATAGCCACCATGCAAGCAGCAGAGCCATCCGCCCAAGCCCAGTGCTTCCTCCTACTAGAAATGAAATCCCACAGTAAACTTCCATGGATCCATATCCACTGTGGGGGTTTTGGTGGTTTTGGGGGGTTTTTTGGTTTTGGGTTTTTTTTTTGTTTTTTTTTTTTTTTGGACAGGCTCTCCCTGTAGCCCCAGCTGACCTGGAACTCGCTATGTAGACCAGGCTGGGCTTGAACTCACAGAGATCTGCCTGCCTCTGCCTCCCAAGTGCTGGGACTGAAGGCTTGCACCACTACACCTGGCTTAATTATATTTTTAAGAACATTTTAATCAAGTAACTGGGATTTGGGGTTAGCTGGCAAATTATGACTGCATTTATCTTTGAGAAGTTGGCAATTCCGTGTCTACATCGGAATAAACAAGGTGAGCTGACCCTTAACTCTCTGTTGACTCTATTTACACAGGAATACCCTGGAGATGAGCTTCTTCTTGTTTATGACAAAGACTTCAAATACGGGCTTAACTTCTATCTCATTGGAACCGAAGAGGGCAAGGGAAACTATTTAAATGTAAGCAAATCCTAAACCCTTGCAATCTGATAGCTGGAGGAATCCATTCCTCTCTCATGCATGGTGTGACCAGCCCTTGTTCCCTGTTCCCTGGCCCAGGTACAGTGAAGGTTAAGCAATGGCACCAGTAGATCCTGTTTCCAAGGCTGGAAACATAGCCGTGTATATATGCATATATATTGCACAGTGCACTGTATTTTATGGCAGTTCATGAAATACTTACTATTCTTATTGCCAGTACACATTTCCCTGAAGATATTCATTTGGTTGTCCATCTTTTTCACTATCACATGTAAATCAGCAGTGAACATCTTGGTTTTATCTATTGTAAGTGTATGGTGAGTATGGTTCTTTGGTATGTGTACATGCAGATGTGTGTGCATGCTTGTAGAGGTCAGAGGTCAACATCAGTTCTCTTCTTCAATCACACTCCACCTTATCTTTGGAGTCAGAGTGTCTCACTGAACCTGGAGGCCACCTATTGGTTAAGCTGATTGGCCAGCAAGCTCCAGGAATCCCGTCTCCACTTCCCCAACACTGTGGTTATAGGCATGGGCCACCACACCTGGCTTTTTGGGGGAGCTAGGGATCCAGGCTCAGGTCCTCACGCTTGAACAGCAAGTACGTTACCGGCTGAACCATCTCCCCAGCCTCCATTGGCCCACTCCTAGCATTCAGAGGTTATCACATTCATTCATATTTATATTCCTCTCATCAGCCTTTCAGGAATTCAGAGAAAATGCGTTTTCTACTTTAGTCATCGAGTTCAGAATATGCATTGTTCCTGAAGATGGGCCTCGAATGCTGTTTTCTTCACCTGTGCTGCTTCCTTTCCTCATCTTTTCCTCTTCTTACCACCTTCCTCTGTCCTTTGTGTCTTTCTTGTTCAGTCTTTATTCTTCTCCCTCCCATTTTTTAATGGCTGAGTTGATTTCTAAAAACATAAACATAAAATAGGAAGTGCCTACGAACTGACATGAAACTACAGTTTATTGTCACGAACTGACATGAAACTACAGTTTATTGTGAGATCTATATGCCTATATACACGGCTATAAATATAAATTTGGTCACATACTTTAGAATGTTGCTGATTCTGCTCTAGCCCCCAGAGGTACCTGAGGAACAGGAAAAACCCAAGGAGCTTGCTCCTGAAGACCTGTACGTCTACAAACCACCTGTCTCTAAGCCTTGGGTTTCTTTGGGAAGTGAAAAAGAAATTGAGGAGGAATCCATTAAGGACTCTAAAAAGCAGGTCAGTGGCTTAACTGTGATCACCAGTCTTTTCTCCCTTGTAGCTAAACATCACTTATTCCTAAGAAATCTCTAAATTTTTCTGTGTATACTATAGAAGTATTTTTTTTAAAGAATGGTACCTTTCTTTGATATGTGTTATGGATTGAATCTGTCTCCCCAAAAGGATGTGTTGGAGTCCTAAGCTCTAGTACCTCAGAGTGTGACCCTATTTAAAAGTAGGATCTTTGCTGATACAATTAGCTACAATGAGATCACAGATAGGATAGAGCCCAAATCCAATTTGACTAGGGTCCTCATGAGAAGATGGCCATGTGTGGCCACAGACAGAATGCCTTGTAAAGATGGTAGAGGGCTGCACCTCTAGCTCCCAAGGCTTTGGTTCAATTTCCAGCAACACATACACACGTACACACACACACACACACACACACACACACACACACACACACCATGAGGCAGAGACTGGAGAGAAGGAATATATATTTATGATCCAAGACACACTGAGGATTCCTGGCTGGCACCAGAAACTGGGAAAGAAGTGAAGTCAAATTCTCCCTTAGCCCTCAGCAGGAGCCAACTCCTCCAGCACCATGAGCTCGGGCTTCCGGTCTCCATAGCTGTAAAAGAACAAATCTGTATGCTTTAAGCCATCCAGGCTGTGGTAGTTGGTTATGGCAGCACCAGGAAATGAACAGAGTGGCACTCCCTCCCAGAGTGACTCTGGAGAAGAGAATTTGTGTGCAGTAGCATACGAAAGTGTCCCATGAAACAGCAGGACAGCAGCAGGTGTGAGGGGAACCCTGCAAGGGAGCAAGCTCACTAAAGTCCCTAGAGGAAAGGCTTTGGCCTGAATCTATACAGGAGCTCAGGAGTACAAATTACACCTCAGGGTTGTCCCAAACAGAAGCCAAGGAGATGGGCTTCCATGTGCCTCCTACCAGATCCACTGCTGGTCAAGATGTAGACTAGCAGTCACCTGTACCTACAAAGAGGTCTCAGTCATGCTGAACGGTCTTCCATAGAGGAACAGTGGTTGTAGCCTTGTGGGAACAGAAGGCACGTGGAGCTGGAGGGGGGACAGCAGGGGTCCACGAGGGTCTGAGAGGGTCTGGGCACACCAAAGCTGTGCACCACATATTTATTTTCCTCCAGGGACTTCATTAGGTCCCTTTGCTGCTTCTGTTTTTTGCAGGTGACATACATGATTTCTCAAAAACGATGTAAATTTGGTACGCCAGTTACGTTCTCTGACCTGAATGCTTCCAGTAACAAAGATGCCTACATTGAATGTGCATCCTACCCAGATAAAAACTATACCCTGCAGCAAATGGAGAAAGATGTTGGCATGCAAGTCACCCCCCAGGTCAGGGGCATCAGCACCCAGACAAAATGGTAGGTATGAGATGGGTTTAGTTATTTTTCAGACAATTACCATAAAATCTTCCATGTTGATTTTAAGAGATCTTTATAATAGATACAAATTGATTGATAATAATGACATAGATTTCCACAGATTATTCAATTCAAGAAGGTCAAAGTATGCTCCCCAACATTTCCCTTTAAAAAAAAGTCTTAGGAAATGAGATACAATTTTATACTAAAAAGTGTGAAGTGGGAAAATGAGAAATGGAGTAAATATTCACAGTGCTGGCTGCCTCTCACCCGGACTATTACTATTGCCTCCTGGCAGCTACAATATAAGCTAAGGGACTTTGTTTATTTGCTTATTTGTTTGTGACAGGGTCTCACTGTATAGCTGAGGATGGCCTAGAACTTGCTATGTGTTCCAGGCTAGCCCTGAATTTGCAGCAGTCCATCTGCTTCAGCCTCCCAAGTGCTGGAATTACCACCACTCCAGTTCTAGGTCACCATCAATATACCTTACATTGGACTGTCTTGCTTTGCCAACTGGATTTCTAATTTGATTTGCCGCTGCTTAAAAAAAAAAAATCCATCCAGAGTCCAAGGGATGATATTTACAGTCTTTTTCCCTTTGTGACATGGTAGACAGAAATATGGTAGAACAGTAAAAGATGCTGACAAGTTCTGAAGCAGAGGAGAGACAGGATGAAAAGGTGTGACGAGGACCCGGACGGTGTACACTGAAGGGCAGGAGAAAGAAAGCCTGCAATTGAAGAGCCTGGCCAAGAGGGAGCCTGCTGTAATTAACTTAGGTATCATCAGTAAACAGGAAAGTGGGAACAGGAAGGAGATACATATACACACAAAACCATCATCAAAACCAATAATCGCTGGCTGTTGCCTAATATCTCTTTTCTTTGCAGTAAGACTCTTCACAATGGTTGTCCCTGCTCTCTAGTTCTGTGCTCTCATCTACCATTCCATTCTGTGCCCCCTCCAAGCTATCTCATCAAAGTCCCAGATCACTGAGTCCAGTTATGCATTTCCAGACCTTCCCTTGTTTCACTTCTTAACAGTATGTGAAAGCATTGACTCTCTAGGACTGTTTCTTCCATTAATTGATTGACAAGTCATATAGATCCCTCCTAACTCCCTGTATTAGTTACTTTTCTGTTGCTGTGATAAAATACAGACTAAAGCAACCTGTAGAAAGAAGAGTTTATTTGGCTTATGATTCCAGAGGGTTAAGAGAGTCCATACTAGTGGGGCGGCATGGCGGCAGAAGTGGCCAGAGCAGAAAGCTGAGCACTCACATCTTCAAGCAGGCATAGGAAGCAGAGAGAGAGAGAGAGAGAGAGAGAGAGAGAGAGAGAGACAGAGAGACAGAGAGAGACAGAGACAAAGAGACAGAGAGACAGAGAGACAGAGACAGAGACAGAGACAGAGAGACATATAGGGAATGTGGCAAGGCTTAAGAATGCTCAAAGCCCACCCCCAGTGGCGTGCTTCCTCAGGCAAGGCTGCACCTCCTAAAACCTCCCAAAACAAAACCTCCCCAAACAACAGTACCAACAGGGGACAAAATGCCCAAATACTCAGAGCCTGTGGGGGACATTTTCATTCAAACTACCACATTCTACTCCCTGGCCCTCATAGGCTTACGAAGTCTCCATAGTCTTTACCAGTCTCAATACTATTCAAAAGTCCAGAGTCCAAAGTCTCTTCTGAGATGCAAGGTAATCGCAACTGTAAGCCCCTGTAAAATCAAAAGACAAATTACATACTTCCAACTATACAATGGAACCAAATACACATTCCTATTCCAAAAGGAAGGAATGTGGGCATACTGGGAAAAATACTGGACCAAAATAAGACCCAAAACCATCAGCTCAAACATTAAATCCAGTAGCTCTGTGTCTGATTTCTGGGTCTTTACTTCCAAAGAGCTTAGATGGCTCTGCCCCTCCAGCTTTGCTGCATGCAACATAATCTCTCTCTTGGGCTGGTACCACTCCCTGTATGCAGCTCTCCTTGGCAGATGTCTCACAACTCTAGCATCTCCAAAGTCTTGGGGTTTCCACAGCCAACCAGGATTCACCTTCACATCTTCACACAATGGCTTCTCAGGGCCTGTTTGTCCATCAGGACCTTCTTTATGCAGAGACACCCCTGCTGCATGTTGCCTGGCCTCAACAGGTTGGCTCTCTGAAACCACAGAAGAAGAACCAGCGACCTCTTCATTCTTGTATCCTTCATGTCTCTAAAGCCAAGCATGTCTCTCTTGACCCTGCCAAGTTTGGCTGTCAGTTTGGGATGGGCCGTGACCAGTTCCTCCACATTACCAGCAGCTCTGGAGCTACATTGCTCTCAACACTACTTTCTTCCAGGCTTCTGCTAGAATGGACTGTTAACCTCTGATGGAAGCAGTCAACCACTTGTCTAGTCCAAACTTCCAAAGTCTTCCATATTCCTCCAAAACCCCACATGGTCAGGTTCTTCACAACAACACCCCACTCCTGGTACCAACTTCTGTATTAGTTACTTTTCTGTTGCTGTGATAAAACACTGACCAGAGCAACTTATAGAAGGAAAAGTTTATTTGGCTTACAATTCCAGAAGGCTAGAGTCCATGGAGGAGAAGGCATGGCAGCAGAGGCTGGAGCAGAAAGCCAAGCACTCACATCTTCAAGCAGGCATAGGAAGCAGAGAAAGACTAGAAGTCTGCCGAGACTCAGGAACTCTCAAGGCCACACCTCCTAAAACTTCCCAAAGACAGCACCACCAACTGACAAAGTGTCCGAATACTTGGAGCCTACAGGGGACATTCTCATTTAAACCAATGCCCTCCCTATTAGTTCCTTTTCAGTCTTTTACTGACTTTTCCTCTTCCTCATTAATAATAATTTGAGGACCCCCAAGGCTATTTGACTTTTGCCTTTTCTCTCACTGAACTAATCCTGGGGAGACTTTACCTAGGGCCTATAGTATTTCCTGTCATCTCTTTGATGATGACTCCCAAATCAACATATTCAACTTCATTCTCACTGCTGAACTCCACACACATTTGTCCATCTTCTTACTTGAGTGTCTAAAAGGTATCTCAAGTTTGAACACCTAATAGCAAACTTCATTTTTCTATTTCTAAGCCTGAAACCTGAATCTTCCTCATCCTAATAAGTGGTAATAATAGTCTCCTAATTATTCAGACCAAAACTGTATCCATGGCTGTGCCCTGAACCACATCATGTTCATCTTTTGAATGTGGTAAATCCTCCTGATAGAGCTGCAACTGCTCATCCTTTCCTTCCTACCTCTGCCCTTCATGAAAGCCACAGTAATCATGTGAGACTGTCACACAGACGCTGTACCCAGTCAAAGTCCTTCAGTGGTTTCCCATCCCACAGGAGCCTGTAAGGCCTCTCATGACCTGGATCCCCTGTACCCCCTCTTGCACTTAGTTCTCCCAGCTCCCTTTGCTCATTCATGCTGTCCACACTGACTTCTTGTTCTTGAATCCACCAAGCATATTCATGCCTGGTGTATTAGTCACTTTTCTGTTGCTGTGATAGAAACACTGACCCAAGCAACTTATAGAAAGAAGAGTTTATTTGAGCTTACGGTTCCAGGGGAATTACAGTCCGTCGTGGCAGGGACGCATGGTGGCTGGAGGTGGCTGGACCAGGAACAGCAGAAGCTAAGCTTTCACATCATCACACAGGCACAGGAAGCAAGAGACCGGCCAGAGATCTGGCAAGGCTTAAGAACTCTCTAAGCCCACCCCCAGTGACGTGCTTCCTCCATGATAGCCACACCTTCTAAAACCTCCCAAAACAGCGCCATCATCTGGGGACAAAATGTCCAAACACTTGGAGCCTATGGGGGACATTTTCATTCAAACCACCATACCTGGTATGTTTATACTTACAGAATGCTCTTCCTCCAGGTATCTTCAGGGTCCCTTCTCTCCTTCATGCAGTTCAAAATAAGCATTCCCTGGCACTCCTGTAGAAAAGCGACAGTCCAATTGCCGTTTGTCCCGACTGTTTGTCTTCATGGTGCTCTCATAGCTTCACACATATTTTTCACTGTATTTTCTCTCACACTCTGCCCCTAGAATTTAAGCTCCATGTTCCATTTACTCTGTGTGTCTAGATCCTAGGACAGGTCTTGGCATGCACCTTTTCAAAGGAGGGGGAAAAGGAATGGAGCAAAGGAAAAGTCTTGGAGGGGGTGGAGTTAAGGGAGACTGTGCAGCATGGTGCACTGAAGAGCAGTGTTGGGGGGCGGGGGGACAAAGACAGAGACAGAACTCATGACCAGAAAAATGGGCTCAGAAATGGCTCAGAGGTTAAGAACACTTGCGGTTCTTCCAAAGAACACGGTTCAATTCCCAGCCCTCACATAGCAGCTAACAATCATCTGTAACTTCAGTTCCAGGGGATCCGCCACCCTCTTCTGGCCTATGTGGAGCATTGCACATGTGTGGTGCACTTACATGCAGACAAAACATTCATACACATAAAATAAAAATAATAAATAAAGCCGGGCGTGGTGGCGCATGCCTTTAATCCCAGCACTCGGGACGCAGAGGCAGGCAGATCTCTGTGAGTTCAAGGCCAGCCTGGTCTACATAAGGAGTTCCAGGACAGCTAGGGCTACAGGGAGACACTGTCTCAAAAAGACCAATAATAATAATAATAATTAAATA